CTCCCTAGTTTTCTGGAGAGTAAAAGGAGCGGATGGAGAAATACTTCCAGTCTTGCAAGATTCTGTTAATATAACCTTACAATGAAGATAAAGCTAGGATTCATGGTTGTGCTTCTTGTCTGTGATGGAATGGAATTATGAAGGCCAGGCTCAGGGAGATAAACATTTTCTTAGCTCCCCAGAACTGCGTGAGAGGAACAAGAGGATGAGACTGGCACCTCCCTGAGGAATTCACACTGTTATGGCTGGATGACTTTGGGAGATGAGATTTTAGTCTGGGAAGATTCTTGCTAGAGGTTGTAGCTAATAAACATACTGTAGCTGGACTGAATTGGCATTGTCTCCAGGAGTTCCTTGGGCTAGGCCTGACATCAATCTTCCCAGACTAAAACCCCATCTCCCAAAGTCATCCAGCCAGCTGGGGAATTCTGGGAGTTGAAGTCCACCCGTCTTAAAGTTGACAAGTTTGAGAAACACTAGCATAGATGCATTGTCGGGTCAGTGCAGGGGCTGGCAATGCTGCAGAGAACAGCAGGTAAAATTCTGTGAGCTTGAGCAACGTAAGGAAAAGGCCCAGGATGTCAGGCTCTTTTGCTTACAAAGGCAACAGGTGGGAACTCAGCAAATCCAGGAGTCTTTCAGGGCACATGAATGAGAGACCCAGGACGGAAAAAGGAAATATTTCTCCTTCTCCCTTGGAGAAGGCAGCTATCAACTCTTCAGAACAATCTCTCCGTTTTAGCCGTGTGAAGGGCGCTAGTATTGCATTAGCAGAAAGAAATGTCACTAGGGAGACAGATTGCTGCTCACATCCGACAAGGGCCAATTCCTAGAGACCTTCGCCTTGCTAAACCAGGAGAGAACGCCGCTCTCAACAGGCTTTCAAAGGCTTCCTGTGGTTTTCTGAAATGATGGGAGGAGCCCCCAAGAAGCTACTCCCCAAAATAAAAATAATTTTAAAAAAGCACTAGAAATCTTCCATGCAAAAATTAGCAGTTTCCACCCTACCCTTCACCTCTCACCGCCCTCCATCAAATTTCCAAGCTGCTGTATATGGTCAAGACATGGGAGAAGCACCCCATTTCCCTTCTTTGGTTTTATCCCCCCTCTCTCCCATGCCAAATGCCATACATGGATCACAGATTCCTCCAGGTTAAAGGTGAATTACACAGACTTGCCAAGGTGACTGATGCGTATTTATAATATAGGAGCCGGTTCCCGGCTCCACTTTACAGCTTTTTCTTGGATATGCCAAGGAATCCCTCCACTCTGCTGCCACTGGAGTCGTTCCAAACGACCCTCGTAGTTACAGAAAATATGTGTTAAAAAACGGCCCTGGTGGGTTGAGAAAAGGACCACCTGTGTGGCCTCCATAAGAAAAAACACAGCTGAGAAGCTAAAAGGGGGCTCAAAACTGATTCCCAGTATCCCGACCAGTACGTCTAATGGTCAAGATGGGTAGATAACAATCGGGGGGCTTGGGGGCATATTTGGAATGTTGAGCGCTGTCTTGGGTGCACTCACAAAATGGCTGCCACTGGTAGGCGTGGCCAGTCTCCCCAAGACCCATTTAAGCCTGAGGCTCATTCCCCGTCCAGCAAGCGTCCGAACAAACAGCAGAGGGGGGTCTCCTGCTATTGCCAATAAAGAATACGTCACAGATTGACATTTTGTAGCAGAAGGCCTTTCCATTTCTTCTTACTGTATAATTAAAAGAATCTAATAATTCTAATGGTATAATTAAAATCAAGTCGAGCAGGGAGGCAAAGGAGATGCATGTAGGCATTTTTGTGTACAGCGTTATCAACTCCCCTCCACCAGCCCTCCCTTGGAGTAGAAGGCTGCTAGTCTCTGTTAAGCCCACCACATATAACTCCTGTTCAATAAAACGGGTCTCAACGCCTGCATGAACCCTGAATTTAATACTCAAGATCCAGCAAGAACACTCCCCTCCTGTCCCCTATTCACTCACAATTCACAAGGAGGAGGATGAACAAAGGGACCCTCTGTTATTGTGCACCAGGAGTGTGTCCTGGCTTTTTCCAACAAGCACCCCACCTCGCTTCAACTATTCATTCTCTCCCATCTCCTAAACGTAGCCCAGTAAGTGGGAAGCAGCTTAAGGCTTCTCTTGCAAACATGCCTGATACATAAAATCGGGCAGGCTATTTGTACTGTTGCAATAATTAGCCCAATGGAAAGGGAGCGTGTGTGCTATTGTTGAGCATGGAGGGCCTTGGGGAAATAATTTTCCTTATATGGGTCAGTGATAGGAGTAAGCAGTAGAGGAGTCTAGGAAAAAGTTACAACAGATATTGAGTTCTTGGACGCAGGATGATTTCGAGAAGTCGACCAGCCGATTCACCAGCAAGGAAACGATCAGCATGGAGAAGACGGTTCTGCAAACGACAATGGTGTTTGCACAACATCCCTTAACTTAGTTACTGAATTAACACATTGGGGGTTGTACAATACATGGAATTCTAAACTAACAAACAGGCCGGGTTCACAAACCAACAACCCATAAACCTTCGACAGAAAACCAAGCTCAGCAACTGTCTCAGAAGAAATTCAAAACTAGATTTCAGACATCCTGAAACTAAGGTAGAAAAAAGTGGAAGCTGTAAAATGGTTGGCGAAATTGGTAGGGATCTCAGCACCGCATCAGGCGGAGCAGATTAAAGTAGAGAAACAGTTATACAAACGCCACTTGTGTGCATTTTCTCTCCCATTTTTAGTCCTGACCAATCTTAGTTTCATCTTAGTCCTGACCAATCTTAGTTTCGTACTATTCTGCAACACCTAGCAGACATAAGCGAGGAAAACAAGCAACAGAGAGAATTCACACTCCACACACACAAAGAGGATCAAAGCTGGCTTCTTCTCTACCTTTTGGCCTACAGGCAGTCCTTGCTTACCAACTGCCTCGTTTAGCGACCATTTGAAGATACAACAGTGTAAAAAAACCCAGATTTGTGACCAGTCCTTACATTTATGACCACTGCAGGATTCTGCTGCCATGTGCTCACAATTTGTGTGCTTCCCAACTGGCTTGTGACAAGCAGGGTTAATAGAGAAGGCGGAAGTAAAATCATGAGTCACGATCATATGATGTTTTGCTTAATGACCACAGCACTTCGTGATAGCGTTTCTGGTCCCAATTGTGGTCGCTAAGCGAGGACCACCTGTATTATGAACTTGGTTGTAATGTGGGAATGACTTTGGAGAACCAAGGAAATCAATAGAACAGCGTTTCTCAACCTTGGCAACTTAAAGCTGTATGGACTTCAGCTCCCAGAATTCCCCAGCGAGCATGC